CTATAGTTGCCTGGGTCCTCCTTCCTCCCCTTTTTGAAAATGGGGACCATGTTGGCCCTTTTCCAGTCCTCCGGGACTTGGCCCGTGCGCCATGAGCTTTCAAATATTCCCGCCAGTGGCTCTGCAATGATGTCGGCCAGTGCCTTCAGCACCCTCGGATGGAGCTCATCCGGGCCTGCCGACTTAAAGGCATCCAGTTCTTCCAAGTGACTCTGCACCATCTCAGGGTCTACGCATGGAAGTCTGGCGCCTTGCTGCTGCCTCTCTACAACCCCAGTGAGAGACTTGTCGTGCCCCTCACTTAGGAACACTGAGGCAAAGAACTCGTTGAGGAGTTCAGCCTTGTCCCCTCTGTCCGTCACCAATTGTTTCTGCCCATTTAGCAGGGGTCCTATTCCTCCCTGGGCCTTCCTTTTACTCCCAATATATCTAAAAAACAATTTCTTGTTGTCTTTTACCCATCCTCAGCTCCATGGTAGCTTTGGCCCGTCTAACTGCCTCCCTACAAGCGCGAGCAGAGGAGGTACATTCGTCTTTGGTGATCTTTCCCTGTTTCCACTTTTTATGTACTCCCCTTTTGGCCCTTAGGCTGCCCTGAATTTCTCTGGTCAGCCAAGGAAGCCTCCTGGCCCCTTTCCCTCTTTTTCCTCGCATTGGGATCGTCTCGCTTTGTGCCTGAAGGATCATTTCCTTAAGGCACAGCCACCCTTCTTGGGCTCCCATCACTTCAAAACTCCTACTCTGCAGTGCTTCCTTGACTACTCGCCTGAGTTCATTGAAATCAGCTTTCCTAAAGTCTAGAACTTTCACCCTACTATTTACAGTTCAACAGTCTTGATTGAAACAGACCTATCAACTAACTTCAGGTTGTCTGCACCCCATTTACACTAAGCAATTTAGTCCAGAGCTAATCTGTTTCTGTACTCTGAACCACCTTTCCCAACCTTGTGTAAATTGCAGTCACAGGAACTCTACTCAAGTAAATCCCGGGACGTCATTCTTCCCTTGTACTCGGCCTTGGTGAGGCCACAGCTGGAGTACAGTGTCCAGTTCTGGGCTCCACAATTAAAAAAGGATGTGGAGAAGCTTGAGAGAGTCCAGAGAAAAGCCACGCGCATGATCAGGTTAGGAAAACAGACCTGATAACAGGCTGAGAGCTATGGGGCTCTTTAGCCTGGAAAAGCGCAGGCTCTGGGGTAATCTGATGTCACCTATAAGTTTATCAGGGGTGGTCACCAGTATCTGGGGGAACAATTGTTCACCAGAGCGCCCCAAGGGATGATGAGGTCGAATGGTTATAAACTCCTGCAAGACCGTTTCAGGCTGGACATAAGGAAGAATTTCTTTACTGTCTGAGCCCCCAAGGTCTGAAATAGCCTGCCATCAGAGGTGGTTCAAGCACCCACATTGAACGCCTTCAAGAGAAATTTGGATGCTTATCTTGCTGGGATCCTATGACCCCAGCTGACTTCCTGCCCCTTGGGCAGGGGGTTGGACTCGATGATCTTCCAAGGTCCCTTCTAGCCCTAATGTCTATGAAAACTATATGAAACAACATTCCTCTTTTGTTTGAGAATACAATAAAACAATGAAATTGATACTTGACAAATCAACACATCATACTCTTAGTCTCTAATCACCCTGGAGTTACTCGATAAAATACTTAATTCAAAACTTACTCCACTCCATTAAAGTAACTACAGATGGCAGCTCACTGCATTACCCACTTTTGCCACTGACTCAGTAGCATACCTATTTTTTTTAAAGCCTGTTAACTTAAGTGGAGTTCAAGAGTAATTCCTAGCTTGCCAAAAAATAACACACTTTGCCACTTGCTTTGATAACTAATTAATTTCATCTTTATATTCAATGACTCAGCAATACTGCATTGATACTGAGCAATGTCTACTCCAATTGGTATATTATGTTTTTTTCCAATAACAAGTTGTTCAAGAAAAGCAATGAATTGCATCCTTTCTGACTGTTACCTCAACATAAAGCATTGCATCCTCAGAGAGGGTGTCATAATCCTGAGCACAACTCTTTGCAGCATTCTGTGCAAACTTCAAAAATTCTGCAACTTCGCTGCTGACCAATTCTTTCATTTCCTGAAACGAGAGAAAAAAAGATTCCTAAACTTAAGACACAGGTGTTCTTTTTTGCTGTTAACCATGATTGTAAACGTATGTCAGTCCTGCAACGGACTGATTTACGTATCTCAGTTATTTGAACTATACACTGTAGATAGAAAGTGCAAAAGTTCAGATAAGGAATGGAATCATTTCTAGTCCAGATGCAGGATGGAGTTCCCACTGTGCAACAAATATCCGCAGTTTACCTAAGGGGAATGACACACACCACAGGTGGCTTTCATAATCATAGATAATTAGGGTGGGAAGGGACTTCAAGGAAGTCATCTAGTTCAACCCCCTGCTCAAAAGAAGACCATCCCCAACCAGATCATCCCAGCCAAGGCTTTGTCTAGCTGCATCTTAAAAATCTCTAAGGATGGAGAAGCCTTATTTGGGTAGCCTGTTCTAGTGCTTTACTACCCTCCTCATGAGAGAGTTTTTCTGAACATCTAACCTAAACTTGCTTCAACTTGAGACGATAGCTCCTTGTTCTGCCATCCACCACCACTGAGAACAGTCCAGCTCCATCCTCTTTGGAACCATCCTTCAGGTAGTTGATGGCTGCTATTAAATACTTGCTCAGTCTTCTCTTCTTCAGATGAAATAAGCCCAGTTCCCTCAGCCTCTCCTCAGAAATCATGTGCCCCAGGCTCCTAACCATTCTCACTACCTTCTGCTGTACTCTCTCCATTCTGTCCACATCCTTTCTGTAGTGGGATGCCCAAAGCTGGACACAGTACTCCAGATGTGGCCTCGCCAGCACCAAATAAAAGGGAAGAATCACTTCCCTTGATCTGCTGGCATTGCTCCTACTAATGCAGTGCAGTATACCATTGGCCTTCTTTGCAACAAGGGCACACTGTTGGCTCATATTCAGCCTATTGTCTGCTGCAACTCCCAGGTCCAAATATACGCAGGTGGGCCAGTGCGGGGGGAAGCGGGGAATGCAGCCTCAGCGGCCCCCAACCCAGTACTGCCCCTACCTGCCCTAAGTGCAGCCCCCACATGCCAGGAGCACAGCCCCAAAAGCAGTCCCCACACACCGGGAAGAGCCTGGCGCAGCCCAAGCCTGCAGCTACAGCCCCTCCCCCGCCTGCACAGATCTGGGGCACATGACTGCGCTCCCCCCCGCCCCTGGGGGAGCTAAGGCTTAGTGCTGCACCCCCTCCCGCCCTGGCTGGGCAGCACCTGCCCCAATCCCTCCCTCACCACGGGGAGCTTTGATCTGTCCTGCCACGTCCCTTACACCACAACAGACTTACCAGCTGCATGCAGCTCTCCAACCTGACGAGCTGTGCTCCTCGCCACCTATGTGCTGCGCTGCGGCTTGGCCAAATTATTGGCCACATCAGGCTGATTTCCAATACAATCAATTTTCTTTACATTGGTGCCGATCCAATATCGGACCAAGGCATCGATGCACCTCTAACGCTCATGTTATGGAATACTGCCCAAGGTATAAGCAACATTTCAAGAAATATCCATCTGCCAACATGTTAATAGATTTGGCTAAGACATTATGAAATACCACATCTATGTATGCACCACCCATTTTATTTATGGTTAATGTACTGATGTTATCTTTCCTACTTCTGCCATCTAACAGCAGACATATAGAGAAGAGAGCAGATGGCCTATTAAGACAGCTGCCATTATATCTGGCAATCTTTTTAGTAAAATGGAATTAAAAACTTTCCCCAAAAATAGTTTGAGTAAAACAAGGCTAGGTTTTCCTTCTGCTTTTGCTTTTCTTAACATAAATAAATAAATAAAAATTCTCACATTTCCATTGTTGGGGAGGGGAAATGTGGGAAAGACCCAAGTACTTAATACTAATTATGATATTAATATTTTTATTTCAAAACAAAACTAGCAAATTTTTCTTGAATGTTTGCAGAAAAAAAGAAAGAAAGGAAGAAAAAAGGAGAAAACACAAACCGGACTCTTACCAAATACTGTAGATATTCTCTTTGATTTGCAGCATTAACTTGGTGGGAAGCAGGTTTTCTCGCATATTTAGTCAGCAGATATAAATATATTTTCTGCTCATCTTCAGTTAGACAAGAGACATAAGGATATGGAATTCTAGGTTCTGGAAAAAAAGTGTCATTAGGTGTGGGTTTGATTTCCACCTCTGCTGGAACTGCAGCCTGTGCGTTACGCATTTCCTTGTCGTCTTCAGTCTGTGTGTTACACGTTTGCTTGTCTTCTTCATGGTTTGGTGATAGGTCTACATTTTTTTCTGTATGTCTGGAAAAAAAAGTAATAAATTAAATAATCTGCACTTTTCACATAACGATAGGTACTTATGAAAACAGAGGCTGTCAATCAGAATATCTTAGGTTTTTTAATCATCAGGTAAAATGCATTATAATTAAAAGAGCCATCATGTTATTTCAGCATCTACTCATGATCTACATTTTATAATTCTGGGGTTTTATTTAAGCAGGTGAAATCCTAGTATCAATGGTGGCTTTGCCACAGACTTTAACAAGTTATTCACCGCCACTTTTCTACAAATGAATATATATACTAGCTTGCCATACTGAATATTTAGGTGAGAGAACCAATTATAAAATACAAGGCCTTTGGCTCTGGATATATCTTCATTATGAACAGGAGATCATTCAATTTCAGCATTTCTTCGTCTGTTCTCTACTGTTTAGGCATATTACACTGTGTGTCAACACTCTGTAATCAACTAGGTCTCATTTACTCTTGGAAGCAAAATTTATGCCAGTTAAAAATACTGTTCAATTATTAAGGCTTAATTTCTTTTACGGTGGGAAAATTAAAATTACTCCACTTCAACAAATGTGAGAGTCAAAATTTAACAGAAAATTCTTCCCAAGAATGAAACATACTTCATTTTTAGTACTAAAAAATGCTAGAATCAGTTGTGAAAGCAAGCCAATGTGGGCTGGGTATGAGGGGTGAAAATGGTCCTAGCAACAGTTAAGGTAGGCATATAATAATATTGATTCTTAAAACAACTTCAGAATACAAAGGCTTATTTAGCCCTTATGTATTTACAATAACTATTGCTTAAAAGCGAGCGTGTTTTAGGTTAACAAAATGAACATTAACTGCTGATCTTGGAAAAACATATTTTAGAGATTTGATTTCAGTACTAGAAGACCTCTCAAGAGCTATTCAAACCTAACAGTATCACGTCCACAGTTCTTAATAATACTTCACAGCTGTCTCTCTGAATATGAGAATATGTCCATCCTGGTGGCACAAACTGGCAAATTTAATTAAGCTACAGCAGCGACAAGATGCTGACTCAGATATGCCAATGTAAGAATGTCAAGAAATTCTAGCAGCTTAAATTGGCTACATTCAGCACAGAATGAAATGGCAGCACATCAAGATCATTTCAGTGTGCAGTGCTGTCAAAATCTTCATCAGGGTGCAAACCAAAATAATCCGACAGCACCTTTCTATCCATATTTACAGCATTATACTTTATTTGAGCTGACGGTTTAAATTTTCCCCCCTCATTTTATCAGCAACCCACCATCACATCAGCTACAGCTTCCATGGGAAAGGAATACTTACCTTAGCAAATATTATCAGGAGCCGCTGTATAGCAATGAACAAATTTTTAGAGCATCCTTAAAAGTTGTGCTCCAAGATGCTGCTGCTTTCTCTCTCGCTAAGTTTTAATCTGTTTCTTCTAACTATGGCTAAGCTTTAACATCTGCAACTAAGATCACACACAACAGAGCCTTACGGACAGCTTCATGAACAGTGGTGTAAATAGTTGGTTGACTGCCCACAGTCTAAGCTCTGGGCATTTCCTCAAAATGCTGTTCCAACAAAGGTGAAGTTTGATGGCTACTCCATTTCTCTGAAGACAGGTGAAGGCAAGAGTAATTGAGTACATCTGCATTATGTGCTTTATTGCAGAATTGATCAATTGATGTTGGGGTGGAAAGCAACCTGTTTAAATTCGCTGATGACACCAAAATTTGGGGGGAGGTGAGCACGCTAGCAGGGAGAGAGAGACTGCAGAAGGATCTGGATAGGTTACAGGGGTGGGCAAACAGGAACAGGATGTGTTTCAATACGGACAAGTGCAGGGTGCTGCACTTGGGTAGTAGGAACCAGCAGCACACTTATACGATGGGGAACTCCCTACTTGAGAGCACGGAGGCGGAAAGGGATCTTGGTGTCATTATTGACTCCAAGATGAACATGGGCCGACAATGCGAGGTCATGGTTGGCAGGGCTAACCGGACCTTGTCATGCATCCACAGGTGCATCTCGAGTAGAGCCAGGGAGGTGATCCTCCCCCTCTATGCAACGCTGGTCAGGCCGCAGCTGGAGTATTGTGTCCAGTTCTGTGCGCCCCATTTCAGGAGGGATGTGGACAACATGGAGAGGGTCCAGAGGAGGGCCACCCGCATGATCCGGGGACAACAGGGCAGACCCTACAGTGAGAGACTGCGGGACCTGAACCTATTCAGCCTCCACAAGAGAAGGCTGAGGGGGGACCTGGTGACCGTCTATAAACTCACTAGGGGGAACCAGAAGGGTTTGGGGGAGACGCTGTTTCCCCTAGCCCCCGCTGGCATAACAAGGAGTAATGGGCACAAGTTGATGGAGAGGAGGTACAGATTGGACATCCGAAAAAACTACTTCACAGTTAGGGCGGCTAGGAGCTGGAACCAACTTCCAAGGGAGGTGGTGCTGGCCCCTACCCTGGGGATCTTTAAGAAGAGGCTGGATACCTACCTGGCTGGACTCATTTGAGTCCCGTTTTTGTTTTTAGGGTTTTTTGTTGTTCTCCCGCCCTGGCGGGGGGTCGGGCTAGAAGATCTATTAGGTCCCTTCCGACCCTAAAACTATGAAAACTATGAAACTATGAATTAGCTCAGTAAAGTGTCGCTGTCCACATGTATGCCAGCATTATGGTATGGTAAGCTAATTATCTTCGCTGTAAAATAATACTGTCAGAGGGTGTATGTGGGGGGGTTTGTGGGTAGGTGAGGGATTTCAGGTGCGCTGCCCCCCGCCCTCAGGACTCTCATGGCCGCAGCAGGCAGAGCCCCTAGTGGCATATGCTTCTGGTTGAATCCCAGGGCCAGTACTTGCTGGCACGGAGTCAGTCCGTCCCGCTGGCACGTGCCTTCACACCAGACCAGGCTGGATCCATGCCAACACATGCTGATTGTGGCACTGCAGGCGGGAGCCACACACCATCAAGCCTGGTGGGTTTTGTGCCTCCATGGGTGGCTTCCTGCTGGGGTGCTGGTAGCTCCATGTGCAGACAGAGCCAGCCAGCCCAATGGTGCATTGACCAGGAGCTGCGCGTCATCAGGCCAGGCAGGTGCCATGCCTCCACGTGGGGCTTCCAGCACTTCAGAGGGAAGCAGCACATGGAGGCAAGCAGGAGCCTGCCCGGCCCAATGGCGAGTCTATGTGCCTCTAGGGGTGCACCGATTGAGATTTTTTGGGCTGATATTTAACAAGCCACATCGGCCAAGACCGATCTGATAATAAAAAATTATTAAGGACCATATTTGTGCGAATCCAGCCGGAAAAATAATGCAGCAGGGCAATCAGCATGGATTTGTAGCAGGTAGAGCATGCCTGGCTAATCTGGTTTCTTTTTATGAGGTCACAAAATGCTTAGATGCATGAGTAGAGGTGGATGCCATTTACTTGGATTTTAGGAAGGCCTTCAATACGGTATCTCATCCCATTCTCATAAATAAATTAAGAGGCTGTGACTTAGACGTTTACATGGTCTGGTGAGTGGAAAATTGGCTTGTGGGGGTCGCACCCAGAGAGTTGTAGTAGATGGGTTGGTATTGACCTGGAAGGATGTGGTCAGTGGGGTCCTGCAAGGCTTGGTTCTTGGACCTGTACTCTTCAATGTCTTCATCAGTGACTTGGATGTGGGTGTGAAGTGTACTCTGTCCAAGTTTGCGGATGATACTAAATTGTGGGGTGAAGTGAACACACTGGACGGTAGAGAACGACTGCAGGCACACCTGGACAGGTTGGAAAAGTGGGCAGAACACAATAGGATGCAGTTCAACAGGGACAAATGCAGTGTGCTGTACCTAGGGCATAAAAATATCCAGTAATTCCTGGCTAGGAAGTGACCCTTTCAGCAGCATAGAAGCGGAAAGAGATCTTGGAGTCATAGTGGACTCCAAGATGAATGCAAGCTGTCAGCGTGATAAAATCATCAGCAAAGCTAACCACACTTTATCATGCATCAGCAGATGCATGACTAATAGAACCAAGGAGGTGATACTTTGCCTCTATGCGGCATTGGTCAGACCACAGTTGGAGTACTGCATCCATTCTGGGCACCGTACTTTAAGAAGGATGTGGATAACCTCGAGAGGGTCCAGAGGAGGGCCACTTGTATGGTTAAGGGTTTGTAGGCCAAGCCCTATGAGGAGACACTGAGGGACCTGAATCTCTTAAGCCTCAGCCAGAGAAGGCTAAGAGGTGATCTTGTGCCCACCTACAAATTCATTAGCGGGCGCAGCAAGGGATCAGAGATGCTCTGTTCATCAGGGTGCCTCCTGGGGTAAAACAAGGAACAATGGTCACAAACTAACACAGAAAGGATTTAGACTAGATATCAGGGAAAACTTCTTCATGGTAAGGGTGGCCAAAATCTGGAATGGGCTTCCAAGGGAGATGGTGCTCTCCCTTACCTTGCAGGTATTTAAGAGAAGGCTGGATAGGCATCTGGCTGGGGTCATCTGACCCCAGCACTCCTTCCTGCCCAGGGCAGGGGGTTGGACTTGATTATCTGTTGAGGTCCCTTCTGACCCTAGCATCTATGAATTTTGATTCCAATATGTAGCTCTGCGGCGTGGAGAGTGGTGTCCAGCTGGTAAGTCTGTTGTGGGTGAACGGGGGAGGGAAGGGGCCCTCCCCTCACAACCCTGGCAGTCACCTGCACCTGACCCACACGCCCCCTCCCCAGCCCTGTTGGTGCCCTCAATCCACAACCCGTAGCCCCTCAGCACCCCTCCTACCCCAACCAGAGGAGGCCCCCAGCAAGCTCCACTTACCTCAAAGGCTACGGGAAAGAAAGCAAGCCTGAGCCAAGCCCTGGCTGAGAGAGTCTCTGGCCCCATCCCTTCCCCCTCTCCAAGTCCCTCCACCTGCAGAGAGTTCTTTGCAAAAGTGGATAATCCGCAGGTATCTCTGTTAAAATGAAAATTCTTCTTTTTTCTCTATTAAAAGGTAAAATCTGTGTTTTTTCCCATTTTTCTGTGGGAAACGGAAAACCCAGATCCCTGGTGATTAAATTCAGTTCCTGAGTTTAAAAGAAATATAAACAGAGACCTAATGTAATTGCTTGGGTAAAAAGCCTGGCTAACCAGTCAGCCATGCTGATAATAATCCCATTCTTTAAAAACAGCAAGAGATAAATCACGGAATTAACACCAGATGTACCAATATTATCACTGCTTTCTGTGGCATCCTACTCCCCATTCTTCTGCTATACATAGTTCATTTACTTTCCTGTTCTACATGGCAGTCACTATGGCTGCTGACAGACACGAAAAAAAACAAACAGACCGTGTTACTGGAAGCAGCAGCACTTTAGTTCAACCTGGCTCTGCAGCTTCTGTATAGACAGGGCACTTCACTGGGGCTTTTATCCAATAGCTGAATCAGCTATTAGATAAGAAAGCCCAAAAAGCCCCACTAAAGGTCCTAATCTATACAGATATTGGGCAAGCCGGGTCCAACTAATGCAATGCCTCTTCTGGGCATGTGTTGGGCTTAGCCCAGGATCATGCCGAGTTTGAAATAAAATGCCATGGGGGGAGGATTTCCACATCTGCAAGTAGCCCATCTCGGTAAAACCTATACCAACTTTAATCTCTGCAAACAACAACCACATCATGGTTGTCATTTGACAAACGACAATCACACCGTCTCAAAGTCATGAAGAAATGGGATTCTAAATCAGATGGCATTACCAGTCTTCTTCAACAAAAAAGGGGGGGTGGGGGGGGGCGCGGAGAAGAGGAAATCTAGTACATGGCCACAAACCATGCGTTCTTTGGGATTCCCCACTAAAAATAGTTTACTAATAATTAATAGCAAAGATGAAAAACTAACAAACAAAGATTCAGATCATTCTTCCAGGACCAAGAATGAAAGTCTACAGCTTCTTGAAATCTCACAGAAGAGACAAGGGAAAAAAAAAATCACAGCTATTACCAATGAGCTATTAACATTCTTTACAGGTCAGAAAACAAATTAGTTCTTTTTTTTCCCCCTTAAAGGTAAACAATAGAAGAAAGCATGTTTTGAAGGGACAAAAACAGGAAATACAAAGAATATGTACAGCAACTGAGAGACTACCTGTTTGACAACATCCATAGTTCAGAGAGGGTTGGAGCCAATGAATATTTTTCATAAATGTCCCGTGAGAAAAATACTTCACTGCCATTTTTTGGTGGAATATCCCTGTTAAAAAAAAAAGCAACAATACATATTTCCAAAACACAACATAATGCAAAAGACAGCGTTTACATTTAGGCAGGGAATCAGGTCTGGACTTGGTCACAGAAACTCTGATGAAACCATTTTCCATCAAAACATGAAGAACCATTGACATTAGAAGTGCACTGATATACTGGTCCATATTGGATCAGCACGGATAAAGCGTTGGCACGGATAAAGGAAAATTGACATTATTGACAATCGGCTTTTTTTGGCTGGTGCAGCTGATAATTACACCAATAAATGCCAGCTGTATGTGAAGAGCTGCAGCACACACATGGCCAGGAGTGCAGGTGGGCAGCATGTAGACCAGTATCCAGCCAGTAGGTCTGAGGGAGGGGAGGGAAGGGAGAGGCATGGATGGGGGCAGATCAAGGTCTCTACGGTGAGGGAGGAAGTGGGGCTAGGGCAAGTGTTGCCCAGCCAGGGCAGAGCAGGGTGCAGGACAGAGCCATGGGTGGCTTGCTGGGGGGGGCCTGCTCCTGCCACTGCATGGAGGACATGTGCCCCCAGGGTCTGTGCATGGGGCGAGGGCAGGCTGCCCACTGTGGGCTCAGGGTCTGCATCAGCCTCTTCCTGGCGGGGCAGTTGAGCCAGGGTTGCGCTTAAGGTGGCTGGGGCAGGGCAGGCAGTGGCGCTGAGGCGGGGGCTACAGGGAATTTTTGAGTGGCTGTAGCCCAACCACAGCCACCCCTCCCAGCACTGCAGCCAACACCTGCCCCATCCCCACCGACAGCCGCAGCCCAGGCCCCCTGCCAGGAAGAGGCTGGCGCAGACCCCAAGCTGCTGGGCTGCGTATCGGCAATTGGATCAGTATCAGCTGATAAGGCTGGTTAATAATTGGCCATCGGTATTGGTTGAAAAAAATCTTTATCAGTTCACCCCTAACTGAAATCAAAATGAATTCAGGTCCAAATTGCCAGAGTTTTGATCTGGATGAAAAAAAAAAAAATAGTTCTGAAAATATCAAAACATCCCTTGTTTTACTTTTCAAAATGCAATGGCATGAGTTTTGTTTTGAAATTATTTTATATTTTGATTTTTTTTTTAATTTTGCATTACAGCTCTCTAAAGCAAAGCTTTGCTGTCCAAAAGGAAGGAAAGTCAATAGAGATGCATGGTATGATACTGCTGAACAAAATGCTATGTCTCCTTTGCATCTGCCTCAGAAAGTGAAGGACCAAAATAATTTCTAAATTTGCTATACCCATAAAAAACCATCAAGGCTTTTCTTAATTTTTGCTCCTTATCTCTCTGTGCCTTTCCTACCTTGCGGAAGGATGTCACAGCTATCTTCAGTCAGGGGAAAAAAAAAAAAAAAAAGTCTTCACCAGCAAGACAACAGAAATATCAGCAAAGTAACTGTTACATGATTTTTAGTTTTGTTTTCAGCTCCTCCTTGGACATTGAGGGAACAATAAGATCAGAAACAAAGGTAAAATCTTCTTTTCCTGATGCTAGGGATATTCAATGAAAGGGGAAGATGAGCACTTCATCGTCAGCCTTCTATGCCCATACCAGCATTGACAGCTTCAGCTGGTGTTCCTCTGCCTGTTAGTCCAACAGGATGCATGTGAAAACTAGCACTGTAAGGGGAAGGCACATTCCCAATGAAAATGGATGCTTAAAAACATTAATGGATGAACAATATTATATGACAATGATATAGCAATAGCAATAAAGGTGACACAAGGCAGTGATTTAACAAGGCACTAGTTAACAGATTAGACAAGTATCCTGATCTGTTAGGATACAGATCCCTTCCTACAGATTCTCCCCACATTCTCTTGTAGTTTTCAATTGGATACCAGTTTGCATCCAATTGAAAACCACAAGAGAATGTGGAGAGGAAGAATGTAATTAACTGATCTGGAACAGCCAGGATACCAAGATCCTTCTCAAGGAATACCATAGCTTCTGAAAACCCCCCAAGTCTTAGTTAAAACCAGTGTAGTTGAAACATCCACAGAAAATATCAACAAAACACAAGAACTGTAAACTATTTACGCCAAGTTTCCAACACTGTTTCAGATATAATCTTTACTTTTTTACTTAAACTGCACAAGATTCCTGTGCGGTTAAGCAGGGGTCAGGTTTCATACAGCAGGTTGCTGCAAAGATTCTTCATGAAGAGCTCTAGGTTTATCCTGAATAAAAGTCCCTTAAATTCAGTGGAAACAAGGAATGAATTTAAGTCAGAAGGTGCCTCCAATCCATCCATCCAGTGCTTCTGCTGTTCTCAGCTGGATGGGTTTTTTTTTCCAGGCACAATACATTGGTCCAATTTATTTAATGCCAACCGTTTACTTCAGTTAGCCGCGCATCAGACCTGCACCACCTGCAGCCCTCGGCCTCTGCCTACATTAGTGATTTTTTTTTTTAATTAATTTTTCCGTATTCCAAGCCAAACAAATTCCAAATCCGTGAGTCAGTCCAGCACCGCAAGTGGCCGTACGACCGGCAAACATCCTCCACCCCCATCTGGGGCTTCAGATGTTTCCGAAACCTTTGGTGGGCATCCTACTTGCAGGCTCAAGCCCGGGGGAGCTGGATGCCCCAGAGTTTTACTTGCCCTCAGCTGTAAGGCCCTGGGATCAAGCCAGGGAGAAGTCTCCCGTTTCCATGAAGTGGGCTTAAAGCCGAGACCCTCCCACTCCAGCAGCTAAGTGGGAGGTTCGCTTTACATGACCCCGACAGGCACTATCCCTGTGCCAGGAGAGCGGTCCTCCCTGGTGCGACTAGGAAGACCGCCTCTGCGGTCATGGCGTTTCCCTTGCCAGGTAAGCACAGGACCATGCTGGATCTGAGCCAACAAGAGGCCAAGAAGCGCATACGTCAGCGATCCTCGCCCAGGATGCAGTGGCCCCCGGAGGTGCCTTGGGACCCTTTCAAGGGTACCCCGGGTCCCACACCACCTTTGCGCTGTCAGGTGCGTGAGGGGGCTAGCAGATTTCAAACGCATGGGGCTAAAGGCACCCTGCCCTGCTCCGGGCCCAGTTCTTTGCGACACGGAAACCGCGCAGAATCCGCACTCGAGCACAACGCACGAGGAGGTCTCGGTCTCGGTCTGCCGAGGGGGCCCGGAGCCGAGGGGGCGGGTGCGGGCCCGC